CCACTTTACTGGATAAGCAAGTTACATGGTTCTGCCTCACTCCAGAGCACTGGAGAAGAACGGTGCTGCCACATGCCTGAGGAGGAAGGAGAACCAGAACTATTGGAGAGAGACTTGAATGTTGCCTCGATAGACATTACCCTTTCTCACTCTAGTATAAATTGCTGTTACAAACACAGCTTCAGCCCCAGCACCCTCACCAACCAGGTGGCTTGTCCTCAAGCCCCTGTGACACAGAGACTCTGGATTAGCCCCTGTTACAGACGATCTCTGGGAATCATTGTGCCAGCTCTGTCCTAGACAAGACAAGCAAGCTCTGGGTGCTAGAAGTATGTCATGCCTCCTGGAATGGAGCCCCCATTCCGTGTTCTCCCCTGCATCCTTGGCCCCCAATGATATTGGACCTGGTCTTCTAGGAGTGGAAACTGAGGTCCAGGTGGTGTGCGCTATTCTGTTCTTTGCGGTTTACAAAGGTCCCAGCAGTTTGTGATGAGCCCATTGTTGGATCCACCATCTATAAGTATTTATCCTCCTCCAGAGCCCAAACGTCCCAAGCACAGTAACACAACTTCCTGCTCTAATTCTGATTCTTTCAAGTGCCTTAGCCTTGTATTTGCTGGGCGTTCAGAGTTGCCAGATAAGGGGTATCTGCATGACCTTTCTCTTTCCAGTTTTTTGTTGTTTCCAATGGGAAAGATAGGAAGTGGGATGTTTTAACAGTTGCCATTACGGGGTCTAAGCTTTTGCCATTCTAGAATGAAGCCAAGAAATTCCATCCCATTCTCCCATACCCTCCTTCACTTCCTAGAGTTTTCTGTGGCTGTTTTAATAAAATTCTGCATATATAGTCATGTGTCACTTAGTGACAGGGATTATTATTATTTTTTTGAGTTGGAGTCTCACTCCGTCGCCCAGACTAGAGTGCAGTGGCACACTCCAGGCCGCCGCAGCCTGGACCTGCTGGGCTCTGGTGATCATTCCGCCTCAGCCTTCCAAGTAGCCAGAACTACAGGCACGCACTACCACACCCGGCTAATTTTTGGTTTATTGTAGCGATGAGGTCTCGCCAAGTGGACCAGGCGGGTCTCGAACCCGCGGGCTCAGGCAATCCACTCACCTCGGCCTCCCAAAGTGCTGGGATGACAGGCTGAACCACTGAGCCCAGCCAGGGATGAATTTTGAGAAATGTGTTGTTAGGTAATTTCATCCTTATATGAACATCATAGCGTGCACTTACATGGACCTAGCCAGTACATCCTACTACGCACCCAGGCTAGATGGTATAGCCTGTTGCTTCTAGGCTGAAACCTGTACAGCTTGTGGTTGTGCTGAATATTGTAGGCAGTTGGAACACAATGGTAAGCATTTATGTATCTAAACAAATCTTGACAGAGAAACGACTGAAAAAATATGGTAGTATAATCTTATGGGACCACCATCACATATATGGGGAGAGACCTGCCCCCCAAAACATGGAATTTCTTTTAAAATTGTGTAGTTATTCTTACGTGTTTAAACTTCAGTCACCTTTAACGTACCCTCTTTTTGAGGCAGTACATCTATCGGGATGCTTTTTCCACGACTCAAAACAGTTTTGAACTTGTCAATTGTGATGCCTTTTTGTGCATCTGCTATTTTCTTGTTTCACCTCTTCCGCATCAGCAAAACGTTTTCCTTTGAGGACTTTTTTCACATGTGGAAACAAAAAAATGTTACTCAGGGTGAGATCGGGCAAATAGGGAGGGTGGGGTATGGGGGTCATGCCATTTTTTGGTGAAAAACTGCTGAACACTCAGCATGGTGTGGGCAGGTGCATTGTCATGGTGGAAGAACCAGTCACCTGTTTGCCACAACTCAGGATGTTTCTTCCGCAAATCGTGATACGACCATCTCAAAACTTCTAAATAAAAACTTTGGTTGACCATTTAATACAGAGGAACAAATTCTGATTATGCAACACGCGGCCCACCCTCCAAAAGATAATCCCGGTTTATTTTTGGCCCACTCTTTTATATGCAGTCTGTTGTTGATCAAGTTGTTATGAGACTCATGACCATATAGGATTTTTTGACCATGTTTTTTGACTGGTAAAATATACTCCGTGTTTATACTTGTTTAAATCCCCTCTGAGCTGCAAAAAGTGGCACAGACACCCACAGGAATGTCTCTGAGACTGTGCCTTGTCCCTGAGCTTGCAAGTTACCACTGGCCTCTTAGTCTCTCTGGACCGCTGTAATTGGTTCTAACTTCTGGAATGCTATGAAGCTTGAAACCTCCAGAGCTCGGTTTCCAAAGTGTAGGCTGAATATGAATCACCTGTACCATTGCCAAGAATGCAGATTCCTCAGCTGGGTTCTAAAGATTCTGATTCAGTGGGGCTGGGCTGGAGCCCAGGAATCAGCATTTCAGCAAGCATCTAGAATGACCAAAAACAGTGTTTTCCAGACTTTTTTGTTGATGGCAAAGAATGCCACGCCAGGGCAGGGCAGAACTGCAGGGGAAGCATCCCATCTCCAGCCAGAGCTCCACTTAGAACTGGTTTATAAATGAGTCTTCAGCCTAAGGTTTGTCCTCCAGATACAAATTTATAACATGGAATACACTTGTTGGGCGCTGCAGATCTGCTCTTCAAATCCCAGACCAGACTGGTGGGTCTCAGCGGAGGTCTTTGTGCCTGTTTTCAACTAGGTTCCTTAGACCCAGAAGCCAGGGAGGCTTCTTACTGGCCTTCCTAGTGTCCATGGCCCTATTTGGACTGTGTCTTGTGAAGGAAATGGCTTTTCTCTTGGACCCTAACAGACTGCAATTCAAGGTCAGGGAACTTGAATTTCCACTTTGCCAGTAAGCAGCGGCCCTCCCCTGTTCCCCTTCAAAAGACCGGATGTCACACCTAAGCTTACTGACTTCCAGTGTTTCCATGCATGGGGATTTTCGAAGAGTGTCTTTGGGGCCTTGGGTTTGAATCTGATAATTGAAGGCATAAAGGTGGCTATCTTTGGGTCGCCCATACTCATCGTACTGACAGCCGAGGCTGCTGATTATAGGAAAGAAGGGAAGGAACAAGGGCAGATCTGTTAAATGGTGTGTAGATGGTATTTTTTCCTGTGAAATCTCAATACCTCGCTTAGGAGGCTGCAGTTCAGGTTTTTGAGCCACTGTCCTCTGATATTTACTCACGGGGGACTTTACTCTTGAGAAATCACTGTGGCAACAAAACTGTTTTGCCTCCATGAAGACGATGTCAAAGTCTCAAAATCCAGGACATTTTAAGGCAGGATTCCAACCTCATTACTGCCAGGAATAAAATCCATCCAAGGTGGAAGTGTCCTCTTTTAGAACTCAAATCCATCTCAGAATGGCTTTTCTTTTCCCCTTTGTTTTTGAAGCTATGCAATTACTTTTTTTTTTTAAATTGTGCTAATGCACAAAACTCTCTTTTTCCCCTTTCATTTATTTGAAATTGAACTTAACAAAGTCAGTCCCGAGCAAGCACTATATATGAGTAATGCTTTTTGTCCATAAAAGAGCATTGACTGCAGTGGTACAGGAGTGCTGATTCTCGCCAGGCTTTGTGTGCGCGTCCATAATGACAAAGTGCTCATGTCAGGGTGTATAATGAAACTATAAATTGTTTTCATGAATGCTCTGAATTTGGTCTTTTACGGGGCAAATTCAAAAGGTATTTAGTGCCACATTTCACATATGTGAATAATACTGGACGGTGCAGTATATCCAATAAAAAGTAAAGAGTCCTATCCGGGCCTGCACTGGCCGGCGTGTGGCTGATAGGTGAGGTCATTCCTGGTGCCACGGAGTGGAGGGAGGGAGGGACGAAGAAATTCCATCACCCTGAGGCAGGAGTCCCAGCCTGGCCCACCCAGCTATTTCAGGAGGCTTCAAAGTGTGGCTGAAAGACTTAGTTCCTAAAATTGGTCTCCGGATGGTAGGTGCCTGCATTTGAATCATAGAAAGAGTTATACACATCACGGCCAAGTTAGTGAATAAATTCGCAAGTGAGAAAATGTCTGCTGGATTTTGTGGGCAGGTGCAATCTATTGCAGTAGTTTATGTTTCAATTTAATTATTTGTAATAACAGTTTGGGGTCTTTTTTTATTATATGAGGCAGATGGGTTTATCCTAGAAAACTTTAGAAAACATAGAAAGCATAAAGAAAGATTTTAAAACATGGGTATATAATTTTATACCAAGAGATCGTTGTTAGTAATATTTCTAGAAAATTTATATTAAATATCCTTCTATACCTGTCACTTTGTAAAATTTTGGTAAAATTTTACATAATTGTATCTGGATATATAAACCCTTTTAAACAGAATTGGGGTCCAGCTACTTATCCATCTATGTATCCATCTTTAAAAAATATTCTGCTTTTTAACTTATCTGCCAATTAAATAATTTTCTTTTCTTCTTCTTCTTCTTTTTTTTTTTTTTTTGAGTGGGGATCATACTCTGTTGCCCATGCTAGAGTGTAGTGGCAAGATCATAACTCACTGCAGCCTCAAACTCCTGTATGCAGACACTTCTGCCTCCACCTCCTGAGTAGCTGGAACTACAGGTGTGTGCCACCACGCCTGGTTAATATTTTGCTTTTGTTGTAGAAGTCAGGTCTCACTGTGTTGCCCAGGCTGGTCTCGAACTCCTGGGCTCAAGTAGTCCTCCCGCCTTGGCTTCTCAAAGTGCTGGGATTACAGGCATGAACCCTGCACCTGGCCCAATTAAAGGATTTTATGTTCCAGTTTGGCAAAGCTCATGAACACCCATGGCTTTTGTTCTGTGGTGAGGGTGCTACACATTAGGTACCAGCGAAGGCTTTGGATTTTAGGGCCAAGTTCAAAAGGTATTTAACACCACATTTGCTGACAAATGTCTCTGGGGAGATAGACAGAAAAACCCCACAGGGTGTGTCAAGTGTAGTGCAAGTTAAAAGGAGGCCTGTGGGTGGTTTTGAGCAGTCACGTGGCTTTGTTTGCTTTGCAGTACCTGGTGTGTAAAAGGAAGCTGGAGAGTAAGAAGGAAGCCCTGTTGATCCTCTCTAAGGAGCTGGACACCTGTCAGCAGGAGAGGGACCAGTACAAACTCATGGCCAATCAGCTGCGGGAGCGCCACCAGTCCCTGAAGAAGAAGTACCGAGAGCTGATCGTACGTGTTGCACCTTGGGGGCTTTCCTGTTCTCCCAGTTAAGATATAAAGAGGAGTGGCTAATGCCTATAATCTCAGCACTTTGGGAGACCATGGTGGGAGGATTGCCTGAGCCCGGGAGTTCGAGACCAACCTGGACAACATAGCAAGGCCTCATCTCTACAAAAATTTTAAAACTTAGATGAGTGTGGTGGTGCATGCCTGCAGTCCAGCTACTTGGGAGGATGAGGTGGGAGGATCACCTAAACCCAGCAGGTCGAGGCCATGGTGAGCCATGATTTTGCCTTTGTACATCAGTCTGGGTCATAGAGTGAGCTCACTATTCAAAAAAAGAAATTATATATATATATATAAAAAGAGAAGATTTTCCCATGCTATTTCTTCCAAAACTGATGGAACAATTAAGAAGTGAAAGTTGCCACCCCTGTTTTCTCTACTATCCATTCCCACTGGTTAGTCATATATAGATTGATATATGCATATATCAATTACCATATGTATATGTGTGTCCAGACTGCTTGCTCTGGTACCCATGAACATGGTCGTGTGTGTTTGCAGTAGCCCTCCGTTATCCACAGTGCTGTGTTTCAAGACCTCCAGTGATGCCTGAGACTGGGAATAGTACCCAACCATATATATATCATATTTTTTTGATCTGATACTGGAGCCGGCTCTTCAGTGAATAAATGGCAGGCAGCACAGATAGTGTGGATATTCTGGACAGAGGGGTGATTCATGACCCAGTCGGGCTGGAGTTGGACAGCGTGAGATTTCATCATGCTACTCAGAGGAGCGTGCAATTGGAAACTTATGAATTGTTTATTTGGGGAATTTTCCATTTAATATGTTCAGACCATGGTTGACCTCAGGTAACCGAAACCGAGGATAAGTAGGAGCTACTACTGTATGTATGGCTGTTTAGTTATTAATTTATATGGAGTTGTGTTTTGTTGATTTTTGTTTTTGAGTCAGGGTCTCACTCTGTTGCCCAGGCTAGAGTGCGGTGGTAGAATCACGGCATACCACAGCCTCCACTTCCTGGGCTCAGGTGATCCTCCTTAGCTTCCCAAGTAGCTGGGACTACAGGCGTGTGCCACCAGGCCTGGCTAATTTTTTGTTTCATGTAGAGATGAGGTCTCACTATTGCCCAGGCTGGTCTCGAACTCCTGGGCACAAGCAACCTCCTGTCTCGGTCTCCCAAAGTGTGAGATTACAGGCATAGCTTTATGTGGAGTTTTTTAAAAAAGAGGAGTCATGTTATAAATCTGCATGATACAGAGGCAACTAGCTACATGTGGCTCTTTAAAATTAATTAGAATTAAATACGAAATGCAGTTTCTTAGTCTTACTTGTCACATGTCATGGGCTCAGGTACCCAGGTGACTGCTGTCTGCTACATTGGATACAGTTTCTGAAGAATACTTCCACGGTGGCTACTGTTTTGGACAGTGAATGGTATTTTGGACAGTGTAGACAGAGAACGTTTCCATCACTGTGGAGAGCTCTGTTGGACAGCATTGGATACATGTTGTTCTAAAACATGCTCTTTTCATTCTGCTTTATTTTGGAGGCTTTTCTAGACCATAGAAACAGATTTAACTCAGTCTTTTAAACAGTTGCATAGTAACTCAGAATATGGGAATATCCGTAATTTTTGTAATCTTTCATATATCCTGGGCTTTTAGATTTTCTCTAGGATTTTTTTTTCATGGCAAGACTTTTATGTGCAAATTTTTTTAGGTGCAAATTATACTGAGATGGAGGATACAACTGCATGGTACTATTTTGTGTTCTTGCTTCTATTTTTTTTCTCATCCATGCAATCTCTTTTTAAAGTGTGGACATCGATGCTAACATTTAGCCATCTGTACTGGGGTCATTGAACAGCCCTGGAGTAGAAGCAGAACAGAAGGATTCCTCAGGTTAAAATAACACTGACTTACACATGGGCAGAATCAGATATGAGTACTCATTTAGCGAACATGTGCTTATTCGCCTGAGATATTTGTATTCCCAAATGGCACAAAAAGGGGAAGAATTGAATGCTTTTAAGGCAAAAAAATCTGACTAGAAGTTCTCAGTTCTCAGGTTGTTGTTTTTTTTTCCAGTAAAACCTTTTTCCTCGAATGTTGTTCTATCCCTAGAGAAAACTCCTGTGTGTGTGTGTGTGTGTGTGTGTGTGTGTGTGTGTCCATCGCTTTTCTTTGGTTCCAGCTATTTAAAAGAGCAACACAAACCAAATGAAATGAAGTATTACTTCAGTTTAAACTCTCTTCAAAAATAAGTTTGATAAATCCTGCTTTATTTTTTAAAATTCATATAGTTTTGGAAAATACATAGGCCTGTCCCAATTGGAACTGATTCCCTAGAGATTTTTACAAAATAGCTCTGGTTCAGTTTGTGTTTAATTTTTTGAAAAGTATATTTGGGCTTGGTGCAATGCCTTATGGGTTGCAGGGTGATGGAGGAGAGGGTCTGAATTTAGGGTCATTGTTTGATTCCATTCCTTGACTCTAAGCACATCTATTTTTTTTAAAAAGGAAAATGTAATATTTGTTTCTTTATAGGATGGAGATCCATCACTTCCTCCTGAGAAAAGGAAACAGGTAAGACTCACTCCTGTCTCAGACTGTTTTATTGATGCCTTACAACAGTTGGGAGAAGCACAAATCCCAAGATGTATAGAGAACTTCTTTCCATTTCCTGGAATCTTTTGTGTTACTGGGAGGAGTGAGTGGTAGAGATTCCAACCCTAGAAGGGGTTAGGAGTTCGATGAAGGAAACCCAGTGAAGTCTAGTAGGGTGGAGTACAGTGTACCAGTTGCCCACATTCCCTTTTTTTTTGAGAATACAGGTAGAGAACAGTTGAGGGCTCATGGCTACAGCACGTGGGTTCACCGTTTGGTGGGCATGTCCTCTTCTATGGGTCATACCATTCAGTGGGCACGTACTTTTGGGGGGTGTGTGCCCTTCTGTTGGTGCCTGTTGTTCCATGGGCACATGCTGTTGGGGGGGTGCATCCCCTTCTGTGGGCGCATACCATTCTGCTGTTTAGATTCTGCTACTTCATACTCTTAAAAGCCATCTTCTGTCAACACTCACAAGCCATCTACTTTCTTTTCTCCGGCATGGTGGCCAACACTGTTTATTGACTACTCCACTGGTTTTAGATGCCCGCTTTTTATCATGGAATAAATCCTTATATAGACATGGATCTGCTTCCCGACTTTCTGTTCTGTTCTGTTGAGCTTCCTGTATATGCCTGTGGTTCTACTACATTAATCTCATTGTTTTTGCTTTATGTTCGAATACTTCTAGTCTCTGTTTGAGCTCATCGCTTTTTCTTTGCTCTTGCTTTTCAGACTATTTGTATTCTTTCAGATAAAACTTAGAAACATTTTATCAAGTTCTTCTCTGATTTCCGCCTCTACACAGACAAACCCTATTGGTATTTTGATTGAGGCTTTATTAATGTGTAGATTAATTGGGGTTTGGTCTCTTTCTCTCTCTCTCTCTCCCTTTCTCCCTCTCTCTCTCTTTCTGTCTCTTGAGCTTTCTCCAAAGATAACTTTGTTAGAACTGTCCTTAATTTCACAGTTGGTCTATACTAGTATGCCCTGAATTACCATTTTGGGGGGGCTTGAAGGGAGTTTGAAGGGAGCCCAGATGATGGTGACGTGAATGTTGTGTGCTTTATGTCAATGAGGAAGCCTCGACTCCTGAGTAAGACTCCAAAACTGATGAATGCAAAGGAGAACATAGGAATGATCTGGTCTCTTCCAGCTAGAATGGCTCACCCAGCATCCTGCTGCTGTTTACTGATGTATACCACATGTGCATCCCTTGGGGTCATTACTTTGAGATTTTTGATGCTGTTGAATGGCATGCTCAGTGTGTATGCACACACACACACACACACACACACACGACTTTTATCCTTAAAGATCAACTCAGTCCTATGGTTATCCATTTCATTCAGTGAGCTCGCTTTTCCACACTCCCTTTCTGTTTTATGTGATTATTTTATAATGCTTTGAATTTGATCTAAATCAGATTTTCTTGTGAAGCTAATTGATGGATTTTTTTTCTAAGCAAACTCTAGAAATTTGTTGTCAATGTTTAAAAATTGGAGTTTTTGATCCTGAATCGCTAGGTGTTTGGGGCTTTGTGGTTTGACTGGTTAAAGGCAGTACCTTTGCTGCCGTTTTAGAGTTCGTTAGTATTCATAAAGGAGTTTTACAGTTTTAAGTGAATTCGCGTGCTGCGGCTTTATAATAAAAAATTTACATTGACTGAGGAGAATCTGATGAATTCCAGTAAGTCTGTCAAGCTGCATTTTTATGGCTCTAAAAATACAAGTTCAATGTCCTCAACACTGGCTTTGTAGCTTTGGACATGGCATTTAGTTTCTGTCCCTTCCAGATTTAGTATGGTGGCGGGAGCTTCAGCTCTGCAGCCTTCCTGCCTGGGTTGGAACCCCTGATTTGCTGCATGAGGTAGGATGCTTTGGGGTGCAAGTGACAGAAATTTTAAGCTGCTTAAACAATAAGGGAATTAATCACTTCACATAACCAGAAGTTCAGCTGCCATGCAGGCTTTAAGCACTTTATGGTCTGTGACTTCAGGAAGCTGTCATGTGCTCATTCTCTCCATTGTGACAAATTTAGCAAATAAAAATACAGGTCACCCAGGTAAATTTGAGTGTCAGATAAAAATACAGAAAATTTTATACTTTTTAGTATACAAGTTGTTCCATGCGATATTGGGACTCACACTAAAATATTATTTGTTGTTTGTCTGAAATTCAAATCTAGCTGGACATGCTGGACTTTATCTGACAACTCTACCGTTGCACCAGTTTTTTTTTTTTGAGTTGGAGTCTCACTCTGTCGCCCAGACTGG